GCTGAGCAGGGAGCCCGATGTGGGACTCGATCCCGGGACTCCAGGATCATGACCTGAGCCGAAGGCAGTGGCTTAACCGACTGAGCCACCCAGGCGCCCTATCTTCTTAACAGTGCATTTAAATGCTCAGTTTTATTATATCCGACTGACTATAGAGGGTCAAATTCCCCCAAATTATGTTAGGCTCATGAGAAAGGAGATGTTCCCCTCAGAACCCAGGCTTCAGCCAAGAGATCCATCTCCATTTACCAGAGAACTCCACATGGGGATGCAGGAGAAAGCAGGAGAACCGAGGGGCTGCCATCTTTAGGCATGGACTCGAGTGCCCCTGCCTGCCTTAAGGTATCTCACAGAGCTGGGTGCTCGGTCCAAGGCAGCATTCTGACATTACTCTGTGCGTTTGCCCTGCGTGAAGTGAAGCTCATTGCTATTAATACTGAGAATGTCCCTGAGTCCCCTGGAGTCCCCTAAAATGTGGCTTCTTTTGGGTGCCTCTCATGTAGAGCAGAAGACAGGACTGCCTACGAGGCCCGGAGATCCAGGAATGGCTGCCTTTCTAGAGTGTAGCCTACACTAAGGGACCCGAGGCTGAGGGTCTTTCCCAATGATTTGGCTTTAATGTTTTTCCCTTGGCTGTTCTCAGAAAGGGCGATGAATTATAGCAGTGCCCCTCCCCTCATCCGAGATCTCGGGAGTTTCAGTGTCCGGGGTCAACTGTGATCCCCAAGCGACCATTCTGCGTTGACCAATCGTTAGAAGGTCAATAGTAGCCTCGCTTGAGGTCACAGGGCCCACGTCACTCACCTCCCTTGGTCTCAGTCAGGTGGCATTTTATCATCTCATGTGGTCACACGAAGGGTGAGCACCCTCCGGTAGAGTATTTAGAAAGACCACATTCATATAACTTCTACTAGAGTATATTGTGATAATTGTTCCATTGTATTATTGTATTGGGAATCTCTTACTGTGACTAAGTTATAAATGAAACTTTATCATAGGCCCGTGTGCCTAGGGAAAAGCAGTCTGTAGAGGGTTGGGTTCTGTCCCTGGGGTCAGGCATCCATGGGGGCCTGGGAGCAATCCACGCGCATAAGGGGAGATGACTGTACATCAGGATGACCCTCTGCTAGGTGCTCATTTTCATGCTTGTTAAAAGCTCTCTGAGGATTTGCCCAGCCGCCAGCTAAGAGCCCTTTTTCTCTCTGGAATTTGTCATTTCTGTAGGCCTCTGATGTAGGCAAATGTTACAGGATTTACTCACCCACGCCTTCCTTAAAGACTCCCTAGAACTTTTTACCACTTGTCAAATCCCGCCTGATAGTTTTGGCTGAAAAAGTCTTTCTTTAAAAAAAAAAAAAATCAAAGAATAATACAAATGATACTTATCTTTCTTGTAATTGAAAATGTGTGCCCTTTGACCTACATCACTTCACGTCCCTTCCCCCCAGCCCCTGGCAACCACCGTTCTAGTCTCTGTTTCAATGAAATTGGGTTTTTAAAAAATCACTTATTTGTGGATCCAAAACCAAGGTTGATTTCTCACACAGTCTTTTAAAATAATCAGAGATTCACAAGAAGTTGTCCCCTTGACCCAGCTTCCCCCCCAGTGGATGACACCTGATATAACTGTCCTATGGGAAAGCCCATACATTTATATTTTAATGGAATTACAATACTTATCTTTTTAATCTCTCAGAACACACAGAGCACCTTACAGACTGCTTTTTTTTAAGTTTTTTTTCTTACTCTACCTGCAAATAAATATTGGTGGTCTAGACTCTGCATGAGCCCCTCTTTTCTTCTTACACATTTCCCCTAGGCCAGCACTTCCCAAAGTATGCTTGCAGAATGTAATGCAATTTTAGGTGATGCAGGAATAAATATTAAATAGAAATTAATAGTCATCTATTCTTTTATTACCTTCCACTTTTACCCACCGAATTAACATTTACAATAGTGCTAAAGTATTCCTATAAATTTATTTAAGTAGAGAGTTAAAGAAAAAAGTTCTAAGTGAATTATCATACAGGTTATAGGCAGATAGAGGAAAAATACTGAAGGTGGTATTCAAGTGACTGAAGGTTGGGGAATATGCCTGTACGTAATTTAGGTTCGTGACCCTTTATCTATTGCTACCTCTGACTTCTATATTGCCAACACAAATCTCTATTCTGACCTCCCAAGTCATATGCCCTGTTGCTCTGTTTCTCCTCCAGCATGTTTCATGGACATCTTAAAATTGACACATTCTAATGGAACTCATCACCTCTCCCCCCACCCCACCTCATCTCAAATCTGCTTATTCTCCAATCTTTGTCTTCTCTGGGAATAAGGCCACCACCCACTTCTTCCCAAGGTCAGAAAGTAGGGTATCATCATTTGCTTCTCCTGTCCTTCAGCCCTACAGCCAATCAGCTATCAGATCCTGTTCATTCCACCTTCCAGACTTCTCTCCTGTTCATCACCTATTGTCCTTGGTTTGGATGCTTCCTCACACTCTCTCTTTGTCCCTCCCTCACCCCCACCCCAATCCCATCTGTAGGTGGTGTACCTTCTTAGTCCTGGACTTAGAGACCATGTCTGGCTTCCTCCTGCCCTCAGGCTGTACCTCTGTAATTTGACTTTTATCTACCTCCTCAGCCTTATCTCCTAGTGCTTCCTACTTTCCTCCGCCTTCTCACCAACTACTTCCCAGCACCCCCAGGTCTTTGACCGGCCTTACAGGCTTACCATTCCTTCGGCTTGGAATAGTATCATTCTCAGCCCTCACCCACCTCCCTTGCATTACTAACACTTGCTCATTCTTCAGATCTCAGCTATACCTTTATTTTCCAGGAGTGCTTCTTGGACCGACTGCCCCAAGATGGCCCCTCTGTTTTACTCTTTCAGTGCATGCTCTACCATTTCACGGTTATTTGAATATTTGAATATTTCTAATTACTTTTTCAGCATGTTTCTCTGCTCTGCTGGATTGTTAGCTTGTCCATTGTCTTAACTCCAGTGCTCAGCTCATTTCCTGGCTTATAGTAGGTATTCATTAACCATTCGTTGAATGAAACATGATTGTTGGCTCTTTGGGTCTGCCATTAGGGCATGGCCCCCGTTTCTTCATATCCATTAATTCACTTACCTCTGTGAAATTCCTAAATTGGGTCTGCAGCAGATCTTTGGCAATAGCTTTTCCAAGTTTACCATCAGGATCAGAAGAATTTCTGAAAATCAGAGCGATGGTGGCAATGGCTTTTTCCAGATCTGAGCCCTTCTTGAGAGCTGTGAGGGAAGAAATGATATAGTCTAGGTTAGGAATGACTCTTCCCCACACACAGGGTTATATTTTCCAAGGGAACCAAGGGGCGCAGGGTTGGAAGATGTATGTCAGTGTGGCCCTGTCCTTGGATTCTTTGTCCTCTATCTGGGAGTGGGCTGTACGGACATCTGGACCTGGATCTTTAAATAATGGAAACAAAATTTCTTCAGGAGCAATAAGAATTAGTAGAATTAGGATGAGATTTCCCACTTGTTTGTCATGTGACCTTGGGAAAACACTTCGCCTCTCTCAGCATTGGTTTTCTGATCTGTAAAATATTTAAGCAGTACCTGCTATGTGCTAGGCTCAGTCCCTGGCATTGAGGGTACCACACTGAATAAGACAAAGTCCTGCTCTTGTGGAATTTATGTTCTATGTCAATCAAAGCATCACCTCACGTCAGTGTGATAAAGGAGGATGGCATCCAAAGCAAGCTCTCTGATCATGATGGATAAGGGACCCCCTTTGACTTAGCCTCAGACAATAGTGATTTCCCAGCTGGTCTCTCTGGCTTAAACTACTTGAAAGGGTGGTGCTAACTCATTCCTTTCCAGAGCACCCAGTGAACTCTGAGAACTGCACAAGGTACAGTGGAGAAAATTGTTCTCTATCCTCTTAGGCCCTAGCACATCCTATATTATAGAACTTCTCACATATTACAGTTATTGCATTTTTAATGGTCTTTCTTCTCAACTAAAATGCAAGCTCCATGAGACCAGGGATCCTAACTTTCTTTCTCACTGTTCTCCCAGTGGCACAGATTCCTGCTAGTAGAAGGTGCTTATACATGCCGTTTAATGAATGGAGAAGAAAAGAAAAGAGAAACAGAATCTTACAGCTTTTAGCCCGGGTAACGTGCAACAATTGTCGATACAAAGAATGATGATCCGACAGAATAACACAACTTTTGTTTTGAGCACTTACTATACTTCTGACATTTTCCTAAGGGACTCAGCACCCAGAAGTGACGCAACAAGATGTGGCCTCTGCCCTCTTACAATAGACTTTACAATCTAGAGAGATAATAAGCAATAATCAAGAAGAGAATTCATATGTATTTGTTTATGTATATATTCAATAATTATTTGTCTATATGCGTATATATGATACATATCTACAACTTGTGATGTATGAGGCAGAGAAGGCACAGAGAGAAAAAAATAAAAGAAATACATCTGGGAGGAAAACTCCTTAGGTAGCTGGTCTTGGAGGTCTCTGAGAATAGATGAACATTTACGCTAAGAGCTAATGGATGAGAAGGATCCTGCCCTGTAAAAGCATTTGTGGGGGGAGAGTCAGGCTGGGACTAGGGCTGTGTCAGATGTCCCAGGCTCAGGGAGCAGAAGACGTGAAGGCTCAGTTCAGAAGGAGTCTGGCACGTTGTGGGAGCTGGGAGGAGACAGCTGTGGTAGGAACCTAGGAAGGTGTTTGATTAGGAAAGGAGACGAGACTGGCCCATGCAGAGCTTACAGCCCCTGGAAAGGAATCAGACTTTCCTTCGCAAATATTTTCTCCCAGTCTGTCATCTGTTGGGTTTTTTAATCCTTTCAATTGAGATCTTTTATGGAGGAATAGTTTCTAATTTTTTTTATTATGTTATGTTAATCACCATACATTACATCATTAGTTTTTGATGTAGCGTTCCATGATTCATTGTTTGCATATAACACCCAGTGTTCCATTCAGTACATGCCCTCTTTAATGCCCATCACCAGGCTGACCCATCCCCTGCCCCCCTCCCCTCTAGAACCCTCAGTGTGTTTCTCAGAGTCCATAGTCTCTCATGATTCATTTCCCCCTCTGATTCCCCCCCTCTTCATTTTTCCCTTCCTGCTTTTATAAAGTCTGATTTATCAATTTCTCCTCTTATGAAAATTTGTCCTACATAAAATTACAAGTTTTATAATTTTATGGCCTGCATTTAAATCCACGATCCATTTTGAATTCATTTTGTATGAGACTTAGGTGGAGGTTCATTTTTCTTAACGTGGATGACCAATTGCTTCTGCATCTGTTGTTGAAAATACTATCCTTCCTTTGCTGAATCCTTCTGCATCTTTGTCAAACATCAGTTGGGCATTTTGTATGGGTCAATCTCTGGGTTCCCTATTCTGTTCTATTGATCTGCGTATCTGACCCTCTGTCAACAACACACTGTTTTGATTCCTGTAGCCATATAGTAAACCATAACATGGGGGACAGCAAGTCCCCCACTTGCTCCTTTTTCAAAATATTTTGGCTATTCTAGGCCCTTTTCCTTTCTGTGTATATATGGGACTTGCAGTAAGCCTTAAGAGAAATTTGAGGAGAATTGATATCTTTGCTATGTTGACTCTTCCGGTTCAGGAACAGTATGTATCTCCATCATCATACCACTTTATAGATGAAGAGAGGATGTGATCTTGCTGAGGACACAGTAAGTGGTAGAGCTTGAATTTGAATTTGAATTCATGGGAAAACATAAGCTTCATGAAAATGAGATTTCTTTCTTTCTTTTTCTTTCTTTTCTTTCTTTCTTTTTTTTTCCTGTCTTGTGTTCTGTGGAACCTGCAATATTTAGAATAATGCCTGGCACATGGTAGGTGCTTCACATATATTTGTTGAATGAATGTCTGCCAAACCTGTGTCCTCAGCTTCTTACTCCCTGATTTCCTCCCTAGTTTCTGATCCTCAGTCTTACTGCCGATGGCTTGTGCCTGACCTTTCCCACTTCTGTCTGCTTGTCCAGTGGCTGGCCCTCCGTCTAACCTAGAGCTCCAGCCTCAGAACATTCCCTGTTTCTTTGGATTTGATTTTTAGCTCTTTCTTCCCCCCCAACCACCGATCCTTAACCTCCTCTTCCTTTCGTTTCTGCCATATCCATGAAACCCATAGATAGAATTGAGATTCTCCTCAATTACCCAACACTTTGCTGCTCATCAAAATCCCAGGAAATGAGCATATTCTTCTAGCTTGTGTCTACCCGCTTTTCCTGGGGTGTGTATGTTTGAGGTGGTGGGATGCTATAAGGGGGTAACCTTGAATTTAAGTGGCTAAAGAATAAACTCTATTTATTCTGTCTTTAAGGAACAAATTGCTTAGAGGAAATACCTTAATTCTTTAAGAGGTAAATATTCCTTCTGTAATTTTGGCCAGTTGATTTATTAATTAATAACCAAGAGTAATTTAGGAAGTCTTTAGTATGAGCTGCTCTACTGGGCCATGGGGGGACAGTACCCTCTGGGTCTCCAGGATCTGCCTTTCTGGTGAGGAAGGGGTATATTTGCACGCCATGAGTGAGTTTGCAAATAATGACAGACACCTTCCTTGTTTACTCTGTGCCAGATGCTTTTCAAACATAATCTTATTTAATGCTTAGTAAAACCCACAGAGGTAGGTACTATTTGTGTCTCAATTTTACATATTGGAAATTGACACATGGAGAGATTAGGAGTTTTAAGGTCACATTGCTCAGAAGTGACAGACAAAGGATTTGAAAGTCTGTCTGACTTCAAAGACCATAGATAGACCTGCCACTTTGGAGTATCTCTTTGTAAGGCCATCTCCACGGAGGCTGTGAAATCCAGACACTGTCCAGCCCCCCCCAGGAAGTTCAGGTCCATCTGCAATCTAGATGGGGACTCCATCTGGACAAGCCAACTCCTCTCCCTTCTCCACCATTCTTTTAAACCCAGCAGGCATTTCTTCCCTGACTATGAAATAGCATATGTTCATGGTAAAAACTGAGCTAGAAAATATTACAACTAAAAGATAACAGGGTGCTCTGGTTGTCCTACCAACACTCATGATACTTTGTGAGATGTTTTGGTTTCCTGTTTTTATGGTTGGGTTCTTCCCTTAATAAACTCAGCATGTTGCCTTTTCATTCCTACCCTGTCTGCCTCACAGAGTTGTGAGCAAATATGTGAAAGCATATTATAAAGGGCTAAGTCCTATTAAAAACCCAAGGGGTCAGTGTTTCTCTTTTGGCGTCTTTTATCAGCTTTCTTGCCTCTGGAAGGGGCGTGTTGGAGACGGTGTTAAATCGGGCACTTCATGTCGACCTCTCCTGTTATTTCCTACCTCACTTTTCATGGTTTAATAATACTAAACTGTGTGTAGTCCCTTTCTCACTCTGTTCTCCCAACAAGTATTTTTTGGCAAATACTTATTGACAGGCTCTGTCCTAGTTCTGGGGATGGAACAGTGAGCAATATCAAGAAAGTAATTCTTAATTTGGTGCTTGCATTCTGGAAGACAATTGTAGTGAACGATTACAGAGCTAGAATTCTACATGCTACCCATTCCTCCATAGGATGCACAGGATTTGACTCACTTAACTGTTACACCAGCCTTCAGAGGTGCGTTCACGCATCATCGCCACTTTATAGATAAGGAAACTGAGGCTCACAAAGGTAAGTAGCTTGCTCAAGGTCACACAGCCCATCTGGTCCCTCACCATGATGCGCATGGCCTTTCTGTAGTGTTTTTCAGGCAGTATATTCTGTAGGACTCTTTCCCAAACTTCCAGATTGGGCAACGGGTCCCTCCCTTGTGTTTCTCTATTTCCCCGAACATAAACTTATTATAACCCTCACACTAACACACGGTTGATCTGTCTAAATTTCCTTCTAGATCAGAGCTGTCCAAAAGAAATGTCATGTGAGCCATAATGACAATCTAATCTTTCTGCTAGCCACATTAAAAGGGTGAAAAGAAACATACAAAATCATTTTCATAACACATTTTATTTAACCCAATGTATCAGAAATATTATCATTTCAACATGTGATCAATCTAAACAAATTATTGAGATATGTTACACTTTTTTCTACTAAGTCTCTTAAATCTGACTTATCGATTACACTTACAGCACACTTCAGTGCTCAAGATCTACATGTGGCTGGTGGCTGCTATACTGGATGTTCCCGAGGGCAGTTACTACATTGTATTTATCTCTACGCTCATCCCCAGGCCGTGGCGTGTTGTAGGCCTCCGTGTATGTGTGTTGCACTGAGCTGACTGGAATGTCAGAGCCATCCTCTGCCTCTTTCCCCTCACCTGCCCTGGAACATGGCACCCAGCTCCAAACGTTAGATCTAGTGAGTTCCTGACACTTTCGTGTAATAGAAACCAACTCTCAGTATGGCAAGGTGTCAGAATCACCTCGTTTTAGAACTTTTCCTAATATTAGTTATTTTTGCAAATGGAGGAATGAAGACCTGCCGGAGAGAAGTGGTTTGCCCAAGGTCACGGAGGTAGTATGTGGCAGGACTAAAAACCAGGTCTCTGTTCTTTTCTCTCTAGGTCAGTAGTTTTCCCAACATGATAGTGTCTTTCAAACTTCCCTGCTACAAAACTGCTTTGGATGCTAGAGGCAAATATGTACTCATCCCCTATTCCCACCCTCAAGAAATCAAGGGCACAGACCCAAGCAGCCAGCAGAGAAAATGGGGATTCATACTGACCTCTATTCCAAGCTCTGTCCTTGTCTTATTTCAATGGATAACATTTAAAACTGCTTGCCATTGAATAAAACACATTCTGGGTAGATGAACCATGTTTATCCTATGTTTTTTCAAGGCATGGGAATAAACGTGGCCCAACTGTCTAATGTAAGGAGTCTGGTGCTAGGAATGGTATGTGTGTGTGTGTGTGTGTGTGTTCAGGGGCAGTGAGGGTGATGGAGAGAGTTACAACCCCCCTCAACCTCCCAGAAGGGATAAGTTGTATTAGCCATGTGGTGGAATATTTATCAAAAGTATCCAGAATCGTGTAAATTGTAAAACAGAAATCATAGGTTTCTTGTTGTGATAGTATAAAAATAATAGTTTCTTCATGATGGAGATTTATTTAAGTAAAAATACAGAGTCTCCTTTGGAGACATTGGCCAGCCATCTAGGAGGAAAAACAATTGCAATATAGTAAATATCCATTTGTGCTTCTTACCCTGTAAACATTTTAAAGCCACAGATTTTGGAATTAGATAATGATCCAAGTATATGAGTGGCTTTTATTCTTATATTGTTCTTTCCATGGCAATATTTTTAGCTCTAAAGATATTTTACCTATAAAATTGAATGTTGAGGGCAAATATTTACATTTTGAGAGTTGGCCACACTGTGTTTTCACTCCATCAACAGAGGCCATTGGGGGTTGATTGCATCCTGAATCCAGTGACCATTGATATTGGATATTGATGGTCTTGCTCTGGACATACTGAAGATGCTGCCCATAGAGAGGCAGCTGGGCTTGTGGGAAGCACCCTGAATTAGGAGTCAGAGGATCCACGTTCTGAGCTTGGCCTCGCATGGGCTAAGTTTGGGCAAACTAATTCCTATCATTGGACCTCGGTTCTCAAATCTTTAAAAAGAACATGATGAATATTTGATAATGTATCCACAAGTTCTCTCACATCTCTGGCATTCTTTGATGTCCTGTTGTTTTTAATTCTTTGTGTGCTATCATGGCAGAGGAGAAATATGTACATTGCAGTCACCCCATGTCTTACCTTTAATTGAAGCCAGTTGTTTCGATATTGAAACGCTGCCAACAAAATGAGAGAAACATAATGATTTTGGAGCTTGGGTATTCATTTCTGCATCTAAAGTAAAGCAGTACAGGGACACCTGGCTGGCTCAGTCTGTTAATGGTGGGATTTTTTATTTTGGCTCAGGTCATGATCTCAGGGTCATGAGGTCAAGCCCCATGTCGGGCTCTGCTCTCAGTGTGGAGTCAGCTTGGGATTCTCTGTCTCCCTCTCCCTCTGCCCCTCTCCCTGCTTGCACATGATATTAATTAACTTAAAAAATAAGTAAAGCAATACAATGATTTAAAAATTAATTTATTTTCAGTAAACCTTCAGCGAAACTTCTAGTGGAACATCATCTTTCATCGTCATCTTTCAAACCCCTTTTTCTCCTTGCCACACAGCAAAGAAGTGCTCAAGTGTGTCGAGCCCACACATCCTAGTCTTTCTTGCATTTATGTCACACAGGACTAAAGTCCCTCCAATGGAAAAGGAATAGAAAAGTGTGGTCACCTTCCATGTAAGCTCTTCTCTGTTCTTTCCCATTTCCACCTGACTAACATAGAAATTATCCAGGACACTTTGGAAGCCACATGTTAAAACCACAAGCATCAATCATCCTGGGTCCCTACATGGCTACTGGAGTAAATCTGCCACAGACCTGGAACCCTGGCTCCATACTGTCACACAAAAAAGAAAAAAAAATCACTTCTTGGTTCGTAAAACACTAAGGATTTGAAGTTTATTTATTTATTCCAGTAGCTTAGCCTACCTAAGAATCTAGGTACTGAGCTGGGGGGTGGGGATGCATCAGTGACTAATAGAGACATGTTCCTGCACTCTTGGGGCTTAAAGTCTAATGCAGAAAACAGATTTTAAAGAGGCAAATCAATAAAGGGCAATGGCATGGTCAGATTTGTTTTTGCGGAAGTTATTTCACCTGATGGATCAGAAAGAGACTGGATAAGGGGCCAGATGGGAGGCCGGAAGATGTATCTTGCTCCCTTACAAACGGAAGATTAAAATTTGCTTGATATTTCAACCCACAAGGGCTGGAATGGTTTTTGAGAAAGCCAGTAAGAACAATAATACTTGGTTACATATTTGAAAATTCCTTAAAGGAAACTTTTGGGTTCAAGATCTGGATTTGGCATTAACTAATCAAGACCTCATCACCTGGGGGGGGCTCATTTTTCTTATTTGTGAAATTAGGGAGCTGAACTCTATGATATTTTTTTAAAGATTTATTTATTGTTATTTGAGAGAAAGAGAGAGCAGGGGACGGGACAGAGGGAGAGGGAGAGAGAGTCTGAAGCAGAGTCCACACTGAGTGTGGGGCTCCACGCAGCACTTGGTCTCATGATCCTGAGATCATGATCTGAGCCACAACTAAACATTGGACGCCACCCAGGCACCCCAAGGACTCTATGATATTTTAGGTCTTTTATGGTCTCCTTGGTGAGTTTCCCTTGATTTTCTAGAAACTCTGCACCATTATTTTCTTTCTTATACAATGTGCTCTCTTTTCACTTTGCATATACAATGTACCTGCAACAGGGCTCATGTTACTTTCTTTTCTTCTTCTTTTTTTTTTTTTTTGGCTGTTATATTCTATCGTCATAATCTCCATTAGTCTGTAAGGCCTTGGAGAGCAAGAGCTATGCGATTTATCTCAAAACCTCCCACCCCTCACCTAGCAGAGTACCACCTAGCACTTGTTAAGTGTTCAAGAAAGTTTTTGGGGGCGTCTGGGTGGCTCAGTTGTTAAGCATCTGCCTTCAGCTCAGGTCATGATCCCGGGGTCCTGGGATCGAGCCCCGCATTGGGCTCCCTGCTCGGC